AAATGTTGTCTTGCTTCACCATAAATTCAAACGATATCCATCAACTCCGAGTTGCTTTACACGCAAGCCATTTTTGACACTAACTACTAAAAAACTATTGTAAACACTATCGCATTGTAAAATCAGCTCTCCACGCGTATTTTTTTGTTTCATTTATTATTACTCTATCTCATGCTGAAGCAATGGCAGTTAAACTTCTTACACCCTGTATATAAAATTAAATATTTATTCACTAATACTGTCATTTTAACAGTTTTAGATGCTAAGTTTAATGCAGCAATCATTGATTTTATAAACAACGTCTTCCATCTAAAGTAACAGCAGCTATCAGTGCTCACACCGTGGTGCATTAAAATATATATTTTCCACAATAGTTCGTAAAATATTTACTTTACCCGCAAATAAAGTTAGTACTTGGCGCAGAGTAATAGAAAAAGTAATACCCTTTTCGTAGAAGTAGAACCCTTTTCGTTCACAACAAACGCCGTCATGTTGCCGCGAAATATTGGAAGTTTAATGACAAACATTAAACGTTCTAATCTTCCCAGTGGGATAATAAGACGCTTTCCAGGTTGCCCTAGGGCGACATTTCGCTGGAAAGGATATTAATGACAAGCCATCAAATTTAATACAATTTTCGGGTTAACATGTCGCGATCGTCTCCAAAACACAATTTTTTTATCAACGGTGCCTACACGTCATAATATCACCAGTTAAGTGCTTTTAATTCTCATTTAACATATCATGAAGTATTCAAGTTATGCAGCGTAGAACAAAGTTTTTTTACACAGCCCCTCATAAGAATCTCGTTCATTTATTGATGAATTTTATTTGGTCTTTAAATATTGTTAATTTAGCGGATAATCCTTCGAAAGGATAATATGATGTACTAGAGTTTATCAAACTAAATTTCATTTTCTTTCACAATGTGAGATTTCGCAAAATGGGTTTATCAAGAAGCAAGTTTTACCAAACGTGGCAAAATATCAACTAATGTAGGACAGCGATCAGGGTATTTCCTGATTTTTCTCTTGAAATTTCTCGACTTCGAAGATTTTTAGAACTAATTTACCTTGGTCATATTTTGGAAGGCTTCTCAAACATAGGTGAGGTTAAGGAAAGGATTGAAGTATTCCAGAAAGAACGGCTATTCAGTACTATGCCAAGGAGTTAACAAGAAGGTACATTGAAAACTAACTAACTTTTATAGACGTCAATCAACCAAATTCAAGGGATTGTACGGATGCTTCTTTAATGCTGGAAGGTCAAAACGATGTGACCCTAGTTCAGGTATTAGGGCATAAGGGACATCGAGGTTGTTGAAACAGCCAGTGTAGACTCATCTAAGGCCTTACATGGGTCATGAACTCTTCTACGGCATTGCTAGCCGCGTTATTAAGAGACTCAAATAGGAATTGGTGAAAGACGTAGCTCAAAACCTGCTTACTTGCTGAATCAAAGTCGTGGATTGATAAAAATAACAAATATTGCTAAGATTCAGAAAACATCCGAGTAATATTGTGTCTGTGTCAGTTCTACTAAGAGCAAGAGAATATCGCAACTCATTGGACGTGTGTGAAAGTCGAACAAAGGTACGCTGTTTACAGTTCGGAACAGAAAAACCGAAAACCAGGATAGTAGCCATTGTAGAATTTAATTAAAAGACTAAAGTTAAATGAGGATGTCCAAGACCATGAGAGTCTGTACATTTACAATTTGCAGATTTAAATATTGGTGAGGAAAATTTAAGAGGTCTTTTAAATATGGGTATCATAATTTTTGCAGTATTTCTAGATCTTCCAAGTTGCTGAGTACCCTGGTGGCGATTTTTAGTGAAATGAGGCATATAAAAATAATCATCAGTAAAGTTACACTCACCGTCAGCGGAAAAACTAGTTGCAGTGGGTGCCGGTGCCGGGGCCAGGGGCCACAGTCCTCTTTGGGACGGCCCGCCCGGCCCAGCAGGGCTGCCTAACATTGTCGCTTCCTACCACCCTCTCTATGAATGAGCAATCTGAAAAAGAACAATACCATCAGCATATTTATATGAAAGATCCCAGCGTACAAACATTAGACTTCACTAACAATCTTAACATCAATTTACACTGCATGTAAAAAATATTCTATTCAGTCAGAATAAAATTATTTAACGCATTAAAAACATTAAGCCTTCTTTATGTGTATCTTTTTACAAAGGGCAGGAATAAAGTGAATTCTATTTTATGAACGTTTAAAACTTGCATCCAACGCTTACAAAACATTTTAGCATATTTAAAATTCACTGACGTAAGTAGTGACATCGTCAATAATTGAATGGTAAGTGTATGCATTACGCAGTATTTAGAGCTGCTTTAACTATGTTTAAATATACTTAAAATAGACTTAAACATATTTAGTTAGACGCGACACTTGTGAACGTAAAACGTAACATAGTTTATGATGTTATAGTGACACTGAGATTAAAAAAAATATTAGTTACATATTATTTCAAAAATTAGGACAAGGGGCAAACTATAGCTAACGCTTGTGAGATCATTAAGCAATGTTCCTACCCAAAATACGTTCTAAACATTCATGTGCAGCTACCTTAAGCTTAAAGTAGGCTACTCAAAATTGATTTAAATAAATTATGTTATACGTTTTGATTTTTTAAAAAGCAATGGAGTATTTCGTGCTTAACAAGACTGACAAATGAGATTCTCCCCCTCTCAAAGTCGTGGCGCTGTTTCCAAGTCACGTATGAAAGGTGGGATTTATTTTTGATAACGAACAGCAACAAAAGAGACATGTGGTTTATTTTCTTCGCTTTATCTCACGTCCAACGTCCGGCGAAATAATGTATACTTCTTAGCGAGATCCAAAGCTGACGTAATCAATTAAATGATTAAGTTTCACTTGAAATGAAACAATCTCTGTCGCTGGTCGTAGCACCCCGCTCGGTTTTGATAACTAAATGCTTAGCTCGTGGGACAATAATTTCAACAGACAAGTTCGCTTAAAAATCTATTGTTTATGAAGTTGTAAGTGTTAAAGGAAATATTAATCTTATAATAAATTTTATGATTCCGGATAAATTAACTATGCGCAGAATGTAAGATTATTGTACAAGTCAATGAAAAACAAAACAAATATTACAAGAAATGAAGAAAATATTTCGAAAATATAACTAAATCATATCTAATTTTAAATCATGTAATTTTAATTATTTATTTTTTAGAAATTACAATATGCAACGGGACAAAGACAAAAAACAGAACCTTAATTAAATTTAAAAAGAAAAAGACAAACTAACGTTAAATATAAAAATATAAGTACTACACAAAATAGAGCAATCAAAATATAAAATCCAGACAAAAGAACTTAAGTATAATATTAATATTATATATTATAAGGATTACATTTGCTGGACAAACAATTTTTTTATGTCATTCATAAAATGGAAAAATATATCAAGTCGATCTTCATACTTTTGATAATTGGAAATCATTTGATATTTGGAAGATGTTATTAGTAAATTGGTACGGGGTGCGGTAATTGTCAGTCATTGTAAAGCAGAGTGAAATCTAGAATTAAATCTAGAAACATGATATAAAATCATTGAGACTAACGAGTCTGCATTTAAAGATTTATTTATAATTTTTAAAAAAAATATAATTGAAAACATAATTCGCCTATGACAGAGACTATTAAAATTAAAACAAGAAAGCAATAATTCTTGAAGTGTACCACGAGGAGGATAAAATCCATAACTAATAGAATGAATAGTCTTTAAAAATCTCCGTTGTATTTTCTCTAATTGAATATTATAAATATTATGAATGGGACTCCAAACAACAGATGCATATTCAAGTTTGCAACGCAAAAATGCTGCATACAATATATTTAGAACCTTTACGTTTTAAAAGTCCTTAGAATTATGCAAAATAGAGCCTGAATTCGTAGAAGCAGATTTGGTTACTAAACTAATATGCTCGTCAAACGATAATCTAGTATCAAATGTAACACCAAGGTCAGTAAATTGCGTAGGTAACTCTATTTAAAACAAGATTCACCAATTTTATAATCAAAATCGAGATTAGTTTTGCGTCGACTGTAAGACATAATTTTACATTTGCTTACATTCAGAGGTAGATTATTACATGAACAACTGTGTAATATGGCAAGATTATCTTGTAATCTAGTACAATCAGCAGAAGATTTAATTTCTAAGAACAACTTCAGGTCGCCCGCATAAAGTAAATAGTTGACATCGAGACATTCAGTTAAGTCATTAATAAAAATAACAAACAACAGCGGCCCCAGGATCGACCCTTGCGGAACTCCCGAAGATTGATGGAATTTACTTGATTGAAAGCCACGATACTGCACAAATTGGTACCTGCCACTAAAATAAGATTTAAACAGAGATAATAGAGCAGGGGATATACCATATGACTCCAATGTCAATGTTAATTAATTATGAACAAGCCGTAAGAAAACTTTGGAAAATTCGGCATACCTGACTTCCTATATTTGAGGTAGTTGAACGACCACTCATAAATCCATGTTGGTACGGAGATATTGATTTTTCAATATAAAGTCGATTGTGTAAAATTTTTTCTAAGACTTTTGAGAAGTTACTTATAATAACTATGGGCCGGTAGTCATGTCATTCTTAGTACCTATCTTTTTTTATAAACGGGGCATATTCGCGACTCTTTCTATACTTGCGGATATTCTTTATATGTAATTACAGAATTGAATATGGTTTTTAAAGGTTTTGCGAGCATTGTTTTATTATAAATGCAGGAATAAAATTAGGTTCTATTGTAAAATTACTATTCATTCCCTTAAATGCATGCGTTATGTTTTAATAAAAGATCTTGACGATTTGGAGGAGTATTGATATTTTCTAATTATTCGTCCCTGAAATTCCCAATTCGTGGTGCGGTTGCACAGATGCACTTCACGAAATTTACTCATAACCAACCACAACCCCGCACAACTCTAGACCGTTTCGACTAAATATACAATTTATGACGATTTAATGGGCTTATCCAAATTATGCGCCACACTAACGGCCATATGGCTCTCACACAATGGTTTCCGGTCCATTCTTTTACATATAATACCCCGGGTTAAGGAGTGTTTCGAATTTCGTTTTGCCTATAAAAGAAGTTGAAATTTATGTGACAAGGATATGTAAACAAGGCTACCAAAAATTGTGTATATAAAAAAATTATAACTTACGTAAAAATACGGTTAATAACGATATAAATTAAACACAGAAAAATGTTTTATTCATGAATGGGTACTAAAGGAATGAACTTTGATATTTAGCAATATTATAGGAGATAAACAGAAGTTTTTATAGCTCATTGCACATAATTTGAAAATAATACTTAATTTATTACTTATACAGGGTGTCTCAGTTTTAATCTATGAGACCTAGGGACCAACTAGTACAACGAAAAATAATGGTACATTGTCATATCAACTTATTTCGAAATCTCAACTGTTTTCGAGATACAGGGTGTTAATAGTTAAAAAAATAATAATTTATTGTAAATATCTTCTGAAATAATAGAGGTATTTGAATTAAATTTGGTGTACGATATATTGGGTCAAGTTTCCATAAAATACTGTAACATCAAGATTTTTCCGCAACCAGTGACAGAAATATGGGAAACTCATTCGACTATTTTATAAAAAAAAATAGTACGGTCCTTATATGATGTGCTAATCCTATGTGTTTTTACGATGTTTGATGTAAATATACGACAAAAAGTATGAATTTAGGTTACCTAATGTGGATCACCCCGTGTAGTGCTACCGCGCGTGTTTAGAGAAATGTAGTAGTTGTTTAGTAGGCATGTTCAGATTCATTTGTTGTATAATAATATGGCACAGTTAACTACTCAAATATAATGTTATAAATAAATACTAAGATAAGTAAATAATATAACTTTATATAAATTATGTAAATCTTCCAGTATAACTTAATTTAAAGTTATTGAATCGTATGAGAGACATATTGAAGTATAACTATACTGGACCTTGTGTTGGAAAAATATTTAAGTAAGTAAAAAAAGATATTCTTTCTAAAAATATTACCAAATAATAATGCCTAGAGTTGTTTGTTCTTCTTAAAAATACTATTTAGTTTTCCTGTTCTTTGGTAAAATAACATTTTAGGTGTCGTAAATATACATAGTTATACGATATGTAAATTTACATTTTACACAAAAAATGGCACAAACAGTGTCAAAATTACATGCTTAATGTAACTTTAATTGTGTAATGTAATTTTACATTACCTACTATGGCGTCAAAATAACTAGTGTGTAATTTTACATAAAATATTTATGAATGTAAACGGTAATATCTTTGTGATGTCTTCAACAGTTTGTTGCTAGTAACTTCTCATACTCCGATCGAATTAGATCATAAAACCTGAAAATTTGAGGAAATTACTAGTAGACATTTTTATTGCACTTTTTGACGGGGTAGGGTATGTAGAATGATAATATCAAAAAAGTAACTCGAAAGAAGTAACACTAAGTTGGCAAATTGCAAGTAAGTGGCACGTGATTTTTCACTTTTCACTGCCAAGGAAAATCTAAACGACCTGTAGGAAAATTAGTTACTTTATGTTATAAACAATTAAATTACCTACAATTTAAGGTACCTAGAGTCATTTTTCACTAATTTGTTAACTGTAAAATAAAGGTCGAATCCGAAATATAAATTTTCGAAAATTGTGCACTATTTTTACAAAAAGCGATGGATATTGACGAAATTTCTGAAAATGACGGTCAATCCAACGACCAACAGGTGTGCCAAACGTCGAATCAATTGATCGTGAAATTGTTGCTCCAGCTATTTGTTAATTAATTTCGGTTGTTTTTTTGCAACTAATTGTTTAATTGATTCAAAGAAACGTATCGAACAAGAAAAATTTCAAAAAGTTAGAATTAAGTTGCCCTTTACAATTAACAAAGTAGGACGTGCAAAACAGCGTTAAAAGCCGCTCGG